AATCAAACCATGACGCATTGAGGTGCATATTTATTCAACAGAGAACTGTGCAGTCCAGAGCAGTGTTCTCCACTTTAAGTACACCAATAATTACAAGTGAGCTTGTTTCCTCATACCTGATGCTTTCTCCAAATGAATCATTCAGATGTGAATCATTCCCTTTAATGAACCATCTTCAGGCAGCGCGAGGCTAAAAAATCTCAAGTCTAAGCCGAGCATACTTCTCAAAAATGGTCCAAGTATCCGTTATACGTGAGTCGTCTTTTGAAGTGAATAAAACAGATTCTAAGCATGGATTACGTAGGTTCTAAGAATAGATTCTAAGGATCGTCGGATGCCCTTTCGTGGGGAGGGGGACAGAATCCTCTTTCCTGAGGATGACGTCAGCATTTTGCCTAGTTCTGAGTTGTGTGGATGGGTTGTCATGTACGTGCAGTATCTCCGCTGTGGACGACGTCTCACGTTAACTCGTCTGCTGCGAACAGCGTGGAACGGCGAACATGTCTCAAATGGCGGCGGCGCGAACGGGCCCGCGCTCAGTCAGAAGGGAGTAAGCACGTTTCGGTAAAAAATACGACAGGGATAGACCTCTCGCTGCGATGGACGTCGCCCGGCAGCAGCATTCGGTTCTGCGGCGGCGACGTCGTCCCAGCCGTCGGTGACGCGTCCCCTGCCCTCTCTCGGCCTCCCCCCGCCGCGCCGCCCAAGACCGGCTGATACCCGTCCGGGGCTTCCGAAGGTCAGGAAGAGCGCCGGTCCGGCACGAGCGGCCGGTCGCCGGCCTGGCCAGGCGTCGCGTCCCCAGCCGCCGCCGCCGCCAGGCCGGGGCCGTCTGACACTGGCCAGCCACCGGCCGCGTAACGCCTCAGCGTACTGACACGGCGCGCTTCCTGTGGCCTTCACCAAACCTCGACCCAAAACGACCCGTTGAGCTGATAACACAAAACAGCCCAAGGGCCGAGCAGCGCGCTGACCATGTCCCTATCATAGACGCTAAGCGCTCAGAGCAGTCCCTGCACAGCACGGCCCGGTTCGTACCATACCAACCGAGCCCAAAGACACCCTGCAGGGCATTCAAAAGAGCAAATCGATGCTGGATAAGAACCATAGTCGTTACCAGCACACATCATTAACAAATGATTTCAGGTAAAAAATACAACAAATGATGCAATCACACAAATGGCAACATAATTTCACCCGAGGATAATGTTTCTCAGGAACGTTCATAATCAGCGAAGGAAATCACCAGTCCCGAGCAGTTTGCCGACAGCGCATTTAACAGATAAACTGGATCTCAAAAGCGTAACAGCTAGCCGCCAAGGCAGCTCATCGCCTTGCAATGCTTAATGATTTCTGGACATGCACACCAGGGAAACAGCCCTATCATTCTGTGACATGCAGTGAGCAAATGCTCCCGTCAAACACGCGAGCGAGCAGACTTCCCGTCCTAAGATGACACGCAGAGAGCTGAGTCATCCGTCATTGGATCACGCGCAACGAGCCAACACATCCGTTCTTTGATCACGTGCAACGAGCCAACACATCCGTTCTTTGATCACGTGCAACGGGCCAAGATACGCGTCCCTTGATTACGTGCAACGAGCTGAGACATTCGTCCTTTGATCGCGTACGGCGAAATGAGGCTATTATCCTTTGATCCCGCACGGTGAGATGAAGCTATTTTCCTATGACCACGTAGGCGAGATGAGTCTTTTATCCATTGATCATGTACGACGGTCTGATACGTCCTCGTGTCCACTTGCAGGAGATTGTTCGCGCTGACACCGGCATTTCGATGTCTGACGTGGATCTAGTGCGTAGATTTCACAAGTGAATCCCAAAGTACAGTGGCTTGTCGGAAACATTTGTTTTTCGGTTTTCTTCTTTTCGGTTTTCTTTCATTTCGGTTTTTGGAATTCTAGACGATGGAATTTTCTTCCAAAATATAAAAAACATCCCAGATCCCAGGACAGTTTTTGGAATTCTAGACGATGGAATTTTTTTCCAAAATATAAAAACATCCCAGATCCCAGGAGATAATGAAACAATACTATAATGAAGAAACTAGATTCCAGGACATTACCTGGCATGATGAATGCAAGATCCTGTATTTTCAATGGATCTGGATTGATCTAAAAGATTCAGGATTTTGAAAAATGTTGGAGCTTTGGTATTTCCAAACAAGGGACTTTCGATCCATTGGGGCAATCCACAAACCAGGCAGCATCTGTTCTGTTCAGCAATCTGTTCTTCCGCTTAAATCCGGTCCTCAAATCAGGCAGCGATTGTTTATATGGCTATTCCTATCTTACTGCTTTCCTTGTTCATTCAACATTGAATGGAAAAATTTAGACCGTAAGAGCAGGCTGTGGCATGACAACGGCAGTCGGATATTTCATGTCGTTGCTTAGACATAACAGGTCAATAAGCTTCGGCAGCCACTTGAAACCCTGAGGTTTATGTAATGTCTTTATATCCCGTCAACGGCAAATCTCTGAAACAACTTTCTTTTCATGAAATAAATATACAAGACCTAAAAAGGTGGTTCTGGAAATCGCTTTGAAATATTTGGTTAAAAAGTAATGGACCCTGGAGCTTCTTAAAATGATAAAGTAATTCAATATTCATTAGCAAACACTTCAACTCGTGTCGTTTTACAACAAAAAATCGTGTGGTCAAATTTTCAGATGAATCTTGGAATGCCGCCACCCAGGATCCAGACCTCGGAGTCCACGAGCATCTTTGCTCGACACCAATCTGCAATGGCAGGCCGCTGGCCAGAATCAGTCACCATCGCCGCCCTCACCCCGGCCGCGTACAGAGGCCTCAATCCCCAACACTTCGCACGTGCAGCGCTTCCGGCTCCCGGCGCCGTGCAGCGCTCCTGGCTCCCGGCGCCGAGCCGCGCGGCGCTCCCGGCTCCCGCGCCGAGTCGTGCAGCGCTCCTGGCTCCCGTCGCCCAGTAGTACAACGCTCCCGGCGCCGAGCCGTGCGGCGCTCCCGGCTCCCGGCGCCGAGCCGTGCAGCTCTTCCAGCTCCCGGTACCGCGCACGAGCAGCGCCCCTAGCTCCCGGCGACGAGCACGTGCAGCCAGTCGTATCCCAGGCCGGTTTACCTTACCTCGGTTGGTTTCCAGCCGGTCGGCCTCCTCCTCGGTGAGCACGACGCAGCCGACGCGTGCCAGCGGCCCCAGGGCGGAACACCTGGGCCGAACGGCTGTCACCGCGCCGGCCCCAGCCACACTCACCGGCCGTGGCCAGCAGCAGCGGCAGCCAAACGCAGGTCAGCAGGCGCAAACGCGGCGACGACGCCATCTTCGGTCTGGCAGCGGTCCCCGTTACTGGCTCAGTGGCTGGTTTGTCTCGCTCTCAGCGCACCTGCCGGAAAAACACACCGGGAGGGCCGTGACGTCACGGCGTCTGGTTTGCACGCAGCACCGGCGGCGCCGGGAGGCCAGCATGCGGGGACTGGCGGACGTGCTGCGGTGCTGTTTGCCAGCAGCGTGTACAGCTCGCTGGGCCCTGGCCTTAACCCAGTTGGGAAGTGGAACATTGTCAGTCAAGGGGTAGTGATGCTTGGGTATCAGAGGGCAGGTTGTTGATCTGATGCAAGCCCTCCTGAGGGTATTCTGGCACAAACAAAATGTCAAACGAAAATTTTGTGTAAGAGGCGTGTGATTAAAAACGGAAAATTGAGGACCAAGTATGCAGAAAGATAACCAACTGCAGTGAAACATAAAATGAAAACAAGCTACAATCTTACGGAATTGTAAGACGGTAGACCTGTGACGAGGTATCACCCACGGCATGATTGACTTTCATAATACACCATCATCCTCACCTGGTGCTCTCGTCGAGTACACAACATTTCCAATGCATTCTACGGTGATCGTCAGAAATATTGCCGAATACTAAATGATGTTTGGATAACAGCCAAGTCTGCGTCACAATCCAAATTGTCCTACTTAGAATTGCCAGGATTTGAACTCTTGTGTTCTAAAATAGAAGACCTCAGTTCGATTCGAACTAGCAGTTTTGTGAGTCCAGCAGAGGCCAGTCAAGTCCGATATTCAGTCCAGTCAAGCCAAGCCCGAGTCCAGTCCAGCTGTTTGCCACAGAACTAACGGGCCAAGGAACCCGTGTGACGTTACATGTGATATCATTCGCCTTATGGATATTGTGGGGCACTTGACATCTGGTCAATGGAAGCGAATTCGTGCAAACAAAGGACGCTGTTGATGATGGTTATGTTATCCCATGTTAGCTATGCAAGCTATGCCACGCCCAAGTTAGGTCTCAACGCCGATGGTTGTCGTTCTGTGTTCGTCCACTTCTGTTGTCGTCATTGGGGCTTTACGACGCACTCAGCTGCTGAGGCTATATGACGTCGCCTGCCTCTCACCCTGATGGGAAGGTCGGGCACCGCGGAAAATCGAACACGGTGCCTCTGGTTCCCCATAGGCGCAGTGGTTAACGCAGACGCATTAGCCACTGCGCTACCGGCACCCTGCTCATCCTGTCCGACCAACAGTGGGCGACCAGTTCCTGCTTTGTAGGACCTATCGCAATTGCATGACACGTGCATGCAGTTCTTGGCTTAAAGTGTCGGTGGTCTGGCTGTGGAGCGCACTCCGGAGCGTTCAGTTGCTTCTGAAGACTGTACTGATGCATCGCACAGGGATTTCTCTAATCATTTCTAGCAACCCCCTATAAGGTAATGATACCCATGCTGTTGGTTTTTCCTCCGGCCGCCCTCCTTCCTCAGCAAACTCTTGAGCTGCTGATCTATGGAAGCCTTTTACGTGCCACGAGTGTCTTGGTTTCAGGACGGGTTGGATTGGATTGGATTGGATGGAATTGGATGGTTGGTTGCGTTGCGTTGCGTTGCGTTGCGTTGCGTTACGTTGCGTGCTTTGCGTTCCGTTGCGTTGCGCTGGGCTGGGTTTGGGTTTGGTTGAGGTGGGTTGAGGTGGGATAGGGTGGGGCGAGGAATGTCGGGGTGCTAGGATGGAATGAGACCGGATAGGACACGTCAGGACATACCAGGCAAGACAAGGTGCACTGGGTCCTGTCCTTTCCCATTTCGTTCCGTCTCGTGCGCTCCAAGCTAGGACGGGACTCAATAGCATGAACATTTAGTCTCGCCCCAATAACGTCTTCCACCAGCAACGGAAAGCTGCAGTCCATTCTACGGAAACCCGCCAAGCTTACAGACGTTTCCCGCTTCGCGTTGGAATGAGATCTTTGTTTATTTCGTTTTTCATCTGTTAACTTTTACCATTTTGACACCTTTAACTCCACTGACACTTTGTCCCGACTTTTTTATTCGGACCGTTATCCCCAGCAATCTTAGATCGCCTTTTCAGCGGACTACTTACAGCTGAAATCTTTCCATTTTGCTTTTCACACCGTGGCCACTTACTGAAGGTATCCGTAACAATAACCCTTTTAAGTAATGGCTACGGAACTATGGCGCTATGTTGTCTATTTTCACTATCTTATTTCACAGTGACTTCGACATGTCCAGAAATGCTCTGATATAGGTCACGTCACGTCACTGACCTACACACCTGGAGAGCCTGAGCATGATGAACTGAAAGATCGCTTAATGCGGCATCTGCTCAATGTAGCAAGACAGTTCGGTTGATTTTGTTGGCTGTCTAGCGATCGTGTCCCCACGGGCTTCATCCGACAACGGTGTAAACTCCCAAGCCGGACACGTTCTCATCTGACAGCACCAGCTTACGTCAAATGTCACAATTGTTCAATGGGCGTTATTGTTCAATTCACGGTCAGTTAATTTAGTACACCTTTTTCATTCAATGCATTCTCAGAGGGTGAATAACATGAACTGAGCACCAGTCACTTTGGGGCAAGTGGTGTGCAAAACTTAACGAAAGCCTAGCATCTGCTTTACCTTTGAACCAGAGCGCTCCGACACCTGACGAATATGTTCGTAGCAAATCTTACCCAGCATCGTGAGTGCTACCAGACGGCGCACCAGGCGGTTTGATCAAAGTGGTAGTGAACCACGAAGCAATGATTTAGCTTTACTTCAAGAGTGAATTTTTGTCCTGGCATATCAATTTTATCTAATCTTTTTTGATAACTCGCCTTTTTAAATCCCGAATTGGCACCAAGCCCCGCCAGTGCAAAACTCTGGGGATTCGTGAGCATTCTCCAAGTAAGGTTTCGGGTGACATTGTTGAGTTCTCCAAGCGACGCTTCAGATGACATTGTTCAGTTCTCCAAGCGACGCTTCAGATGACATTGTTTAGTTCTCCAAGCAACGTCTCGCGTGGCATCATTTGCATCCAATTTTGTCCACTGCAGCGCCGCAAAATAAAGGTACGCATCAGGGTCTCACGGCAAACACAGGGCACGCAGGACATGGCGAAAATACAGGCCCGCATTGTTGGTGCATTACGCTAGCCCGCTGGTGAACCTTTTGCACCAGTGATGCACGCGTGCATGCACAGGTGACAGACACGCTACGAATTGCGCCGCTTCGTTTCCGCTGGTGAGGCCTGCTGCATATATGCAACAATGCAACACAGCGAATGTGGGAAAACCCAGTCACCTCGTCGTACTGAATTGCCACCCAAAAATTCCATGGCTGTGCTGCACCGCGATGGAAATACCTCAACAGCGGTCGGCGACTTGAGCCCACCCGAGGTGGCTGGTGGTGTCAGCATGTGCCTGGGGGATTCTCCGTACACATATCACCCTGCGATAGATGGGATTGCAAGCGGCCTCCCCACAGATGCGTGCTTGCTGGTATATCGCTGGATGGCTGAGGAAGATGAGCGAACCTTTTAAACATTGTGGCTGGCTCATTTGTTAAAAGACAGAGGACGCAGTGAGGCACCCAAAATACCTTCGGGTAGTACAAACAGGTAACTTCGGGACGGACGATATAGGCTCTTTATTAGGCGTTAATCGAGGTTCGTACTTCTTGTCAGAATATAACAGTTTTTATAAGACAACTATATTAGACTTCCCTAGACCAAAATATGATAACCAGTATCTGAAAAAGCGGCATGGTATCGCATTACTCTTGAAAACAAAATAATTACGACTTTCACACCTGGCGAAGGTGTTCGCAGTACGCCACAGCGTCAAAAGATGGCGCTGATCAGTGCTGGTTAGGCGAGTCAGCTCAGCGTTCGATGAGTTAGCTACGCATGGGGCGAAGCCTCCTGTTGTGGTAACAAGAAAAAGGGGTACGGGTAGGAGTAGGAGTAGAAGTAGAAGTAGGAGTAGGAGAAGGGATAGGGGTTACGTGGGCTTAGTTAGGTTAAGTTAGGTTAGGTTAGGTTGAGCCAGGCTGAAGCCCAGGAAATTGTCGGTATTTTTAGGACAGTGACGTCATTTGTTATCACGTTGCGCAGCGAAAGAAAAAATCATACGCTGCCACTGCGCATTGTGCATGGTGTGGTCGTGAAAGCATCGGTTGCCGGTTAGGCACCGGCAATAATTCGAGAAAATAAGGCGTGGAATGCTGAGCCAGGACGGATCGCGTAAAACATCGTAATTAATCATCCTTGAAAATTTCGCGTGTAGGTTTTACCTCAATCACGACCACTGTATCACGAAATCAGATCCACAAACATCACAGGCCTGCACAAAGACAAGACCCCGCCTGAATGATCATGTTACAGAGCTCCAAATGCCTCCATTTCGGAACACGGCACTGAATCACACCGGAATTTTCAATTATTTACTTCGCACTACAAACTGAACCTTGGGTGCGCCAGAATCTTCTTTTCGCGGAAATCAAAACCAGAAACCACCGTCACCGATTTCCGGAAATCTGGAAGAGTGGCTGACAAGGGCGAACGTAAACAGATGTTTGACCTTCAAAGGCAGGGTCGGTTCGGCGTCAGCGAAGACAGCCGTGTGGCCCACACATCGCCTCCATCTGGGTTGGCTCCAATGTGCGGGTGTCATGGCAGATGAGTGGGACGTTGAGCTTCTACCCATCGCTAACACCACGTGTTCATCGTGATGTTTATTATTATTATCATCATCATCAGCTCTCAATTAAGCATTCCCAATCACGGCACATCGCGAGTTTGTGCTGCCGTCCAGGAAACGCTAACGCTGCGACCAATAGCCCAGTGTGCTGGGCATCAGCCGCTTAAGCAGATCGCGTCAACCGACACATCCCTCCTGGACAAGCACCCTGTTTATGGACAAAGAACGACCTGCAAAGAGCCCGTCCACTGCGTCGGACGCATATGGGGCATCGATGCGGTGAACCTGGCGCATGTGTGCGTCGAATTCAGTTCAAGTCAATCCAACATGGTTTCTTATCACTTGAGCTTCGAAATAATGTGGGGTGTTTTCGCTTCAACCTTTCACTGAAATGTGCTTATTCCGTGAAACATTGATCTTTTAAAGAACATTCCGATTTACGGCGTGCATGCGTAAACATTGCTGCTGAAATGTCGCCGCCACACTTCGTGTTCGGCGTAATGTGCACCAAGGATGAGTCAAGGATGTCAGCGAGCGCATGCACAATGCCTTTTAAACAACAGGTTCACTTCCCAAGAAGCACCAGCCAACAGCAGCATTGTGTCAATCTATATCAGGTGGCTTATGATAACGTACCTGCATTAATCTCGACGCATTTGCGCACGGCGCTCGGCGGGCAGTCCCTGTCCGTAGACCAGTGCCAGGCTAAAAAAACATCCGAAATCTAGCCCGGTAATCCCCAGGCCGCCTGGGAGAACCTGCTCTTACCTGCCAGCCGTGCTGCACGCTGCTCCCGACTGCGCAGCACTGCCCCGCAGCGACCACAGTCCGCTTCAGCCCGGTAATCCCCACACTGCGCGGAGGATCCGCCCTTACCTGCCAGCCGTCCCGCTCACTGCTCCCGACTGCGCGACGCTGCCCCGCGGCAAGCACAGCCCCGCCTCAGCTGGGAAATCCCTCCACTGAGCGCGAGCCGACGCGCGACCCCGGCGTGTTCGCCTCACACGCCGCCGAGCGGCGCCACTGGTCGACCCGCCGAGCCGCATGTAACAAGGTCGGCTGGCCAGTCGCCAGCGCAGGGTGGTGAATCTGCAGCCGGCCAGCTGACCCAGGGTCGTGAACACAAAGCGAAAACGGCGAAAATTCGGTCATTCTCGACAAAATCCGAATTACAGCTGATTATGGTGACATCATGACAAAAAAAAAAAACAGGCCAGGCTCTCGGAGACGGTCAGACACCATCCTACGGGATATGTTTGCTTTCTGCCAGGGCCGGCGCCAGTTGCTCAGGCGGAGGGAGGCACAAGGGCACGTGCCCCCCCCCCCCCGTAGGTTCCGAGAAGCTCGAAGGGCCCCTCGGGACCTACGACTGAGGCCCGATTTGAGGCCCAAAGGGTCGTAAGGCCGGCCGGAGGTCGTATTCGGGGCCCATCCCGCAGGGCCGGGCACTTCAATGCTATACAGAGGGCCTTACGCACTTACCAGGGGCCCCTAAGTCGATAGAAAGAGTTCACTAAACTTTGTGAAGTGAAAAGCGCCGGTTATTTATTGCACGCAGTCGTTTAACGCATGATCTCTTCAGTTGATTGACTATAAAGTTCAGGCATAGTTGATTTTGCAATAGCTTCTGGCTTCTATTCCAGCTATAAAAGACAAAAGTGTGAGGATAAAAACGTGCCTTCAGCAACACATTGGCCATATTCAGTGTTTTTTTGGGGGGATGGGGCTATTACCATCAGGGAACCGTTTGTCAACCCTGTGCCCCTACCTTGCCAAGGCTCTGGCTGCGCACCCGGCCTGTGCCACCAATTCTTGATAGGGGAACGATATGGTAAAGCCCATCACGACATTGAATGCAAACATGGGTGGGAAATCATGCTTTAAAAAACTGGTGTTCTGTGTGTGACCAATGCCTTTGCAAATTCCTTGCGGCCCTTGTGGCTGTACCACGATAAGGCACCGGTCCGCGGAAACAGGGCATAGGGCGAGGGCTCAGACCCGCGACTTTGCGACAATTTAAACATTGGCCCTGTGAGCGTTGACTGGACATAATCCGAATGACTCCTCCTCTCCCTCTCAATGCAGAAGTAAGTCTGTTCCACCATGCAGAGGGAAGCAACCTTATCACTGTTTCGTAGCTTCTTCTGAGCAGTCAGCATACTGCATGTTATCGTCTAGACCAGTTCGCCAGATGATGTACAGTGTGCAAACATGTGCATGTTCAGTGACGGAAAGCTTCGTAGGGGGATATTTGATGTATTTTGCCCGGCAGCTACGCCATGGCTTGGACGCCCGATTCAAAAATGGATCTTGCTCGCTCGCTTACGGAAAAACAAGTAACAAAAAGTCTGGTCATTTTTATGCTGTCAGTAAAAGCATCCCAACGGCACACGGCCCGAGGATCACGGAGTTCACATATTCCTTTCAGGTCTGCGCCACCACTGGTTATCGAGCAGCCCTAAGCGGCAGCGTGCTTCGACGTAATGCGTTCAGGCTCGCAAAGCGATTGTAGGCATGAACTGGATCCATCCGACCATGGCGAAGGCGGTATACGGGACCCGGTTTTGATTGCGTTGATGCTATCCTGCGTCACCACGGAAGGAAATGCTCCACATCTGAAACTATTGAAGCGAGCGAAGAACTACGACTGAAAACGTGCTTTTTATAGCTTGGTCACATCAAAGCAGTCGTTGCTCTGATGCAAAACAAGACGCGAGACACGAATCTGGTGACATGATTCACATAGCTCCGTAACTTTGCTTAAAGACAATATCCCACCTTTTTGTACTTTTCACTTAATTGCTGTATCAGACGCGGACGACGTGGTCAGTAATGTCAATCTTTCCAAATCTTTTACAGGTTAGAACTTCCATTTGAAGTAGCGGATTTAGCGGGCGAAATCTCATTGACTCCCTGCTACCACTCCGAAAGTAATACATTTCATTTCCCTTGCTTTTTCCAACGTGGATGTGTTACAATGTTTGCAACACACTAAGTGTTCAAAATGTCTAGGTAATAAATGCTACAAAAGCTTAAAACACCACGTTTAGGCACTATTCATCAGCAAAAATGTATTATCCCGCGCATTCAACGAAATGTTATAAAATGGCTTTGATTTCTCCCCCATGGCATTTACCAGTGTTTGTTTTCGAAACGCACTTTGGCTTTGGGAATGGAAGTATCACATGACCCACGCGACGCACTGGTTCAAACTGGTACCAACCAACCTTTCGGTAACGGACTCTTGACCGCTGGGCCAATCATAAACGTTCTTTTATTCGCACCAGTAGAGGTGCGCACGGTGGTTGTCATGACGGTGGTGGTTGCGAGGCGTTATTCTAGTGGAAGTACGCTTCACACGCTTTTCCTGTAGTTCTTTGTTGCTGTTCACTGGTAGTTTCCGGCGCGTCGACTGCAATGGTCATTTTGCGCCCATAACGATGCTTTTACTTTATTAGTATGGAGTAAAAATGACTTGAAAATCAATATCTTTTGAGAAAAGAGATGTTTGGTATCAAGAAAGGAGGAAATGTCACCGAGCACATCGCTAATCGTCAGGGGCGAAGCCTGCGGACCAAAGTGAAGTCGTCGTTTTTCGATGAGGCACGGACATGATACAATGGCATGGTGGACAGTGAGGACGGCACCACACCGCTGGCATGGGGGTCTGTCGGCTCCATACAACAGATGGCCATGGGTGGCATACGTATGCCCAATGCGCAACCTGCTTAAAGCCACTTCTTCCCACCGCACACTGCGAGAGCATGACGACCACAAGCCCAACTCGGTTTTTATCGCCCTGAGCTTATTGCCGCCCACCTGGTCCCAACAACGCTGCAATTTGCTTCCCAGGAAGGTCTTGACTGCCGGGTAGAAATCTCTGGCAGGGATAGGCAAAAACCGGGTATATGATGCCACTGCTGTTCGCTTAGCAGCGACATCAGCCAGCTCGTTACCCGCGATACCGACGTGACTGGGGATCCAGCACAGGGCAGTCTCGTTCCAACCCGATTCAACTGTGTCAGGCGTGATAAAATGTCCTGTACAAGGGGACATGATGGATAAAAAGATTTCAGTGCAGAGAGACTGCTCAGTAAATCTGCAAAAATGGCGTGTGAAGATTCTTCACCAACTTCTATGAAACATATTGCGTTGGTGATCGCAATTAATTCCGCTGTGAAAACTGACGAGTGGGCCGGTAAGGAGTACGATCGAGTGACGGAACCGCTGACGAGAGCACAACCCACGCCATCCGAGGTTTTGGATCCGTCTGTGTACGTCAGGGTGTACCCTACATAATACGCCAGAAGCTCAAGTTCCCTGGATCTCATTAGGTGTGGTGTGACGTCTTTTTTCCTAATTTCCGTAAGCGAGGTGTCAATGAAGGGTATGATCACTTGCCAAGGAGGAGAAGCCAGGTGGCTTACTTGCACTTACACCTCGAAGAGGAATTCCGCTCTCGAGCAATAAGGCTCTCATTCGGAAACCAAAAGTCAAGGCGTGCTGCTGCGGCCCATGATAAAG